CGTTCGCTTCGCGGAATCTGTACTCATCATTTTCTTTGCTTTCTCCTATTTTAGTTCTGAGTTAAAGTTAATACGTCCACGGCCATTGTATAAAACATTCATGTTTTGGCTCAGCACTGGATTCCTGATCCATCTCGCTTCTGGACTGCTAATTTCATTATTTGGAAACCTGCTCATTCATGAAACCGATCAGGAATCATGGAACGCCATTTGGGTGGTACACAACCTTCTAAACATCTTTCTATATATTTGTTTGATAACCGCTTTCTGCCATAGTGACCCCTCACCACCGGAAAAAAGCACGAACCCATCGCATAATTGAACATCAATGAATGTTGTCTTTGTTTTCGTTACCAGTTCCGTTCTCTTCATACTTCTTGCGATTCTTGTCGTTCTATTTGTCCTTTCGCACCAAAAAAAAATGCTCAAACAACAATACGACCTGCAGGAACTTAAACACAATCGGGAAATGGAACTCATGCAAGCCACCATCGATGCTCAGGAACGTGAACAAAACAGAATAGGGAAAGACCTGCATGACGATCTTGGGGCACTTTTGACAGCTTCAAAAATTCAACTCCAGCAAATCAAACGGCTTTCCGGAGCAGAAACATCCACCGCTCCATACATAGAATTGGGAGCTGAAATGCTCGATCAAAGTATTGATCGGTTACGTGCCATTGCAAAAAGTTTATCCCCCCCGACCCTTGAACATTTCGGAATTAAAGACGCCTTGGAAGAGTATGCCACTCAATTTTCTTCAGCCAAAGAGATTCAAATCAATACATCCATTCAGGAAAAACGCTATGATTCGGCTACAGAACTTGGGCTTTTCCGCATGATACAAGAGCTTGTGAACAACACCATAAAATATGCACAAGCCTCAAAAATTGATATCTCACTGACCTCAGATCGTGATTTCATTTGGCTCAACTATTCCGATAACGGTATCGGCTTTGATGTCGAATCCGTTAAAAAAGGATTAGGCCTTCGAAACCTTGAGGGACGATCTACAAAATTAGGAGGATCATTTAC